TGTTTGATTTTTGGATTCCCCTTTTGTTTCTTTTTTCTTAAAATTTTTTTTTTTTTTTTTTTTTTTTTTGTACAGACCTTTTTCGTGTTGTCTTGAAGCAACCGTAGTTAGCTATAAAGAGTAAGCCATACTTCTACTGGGTTTGATTATGCTAGATAAGTGAGAATCCCTCTAAGGAAAAGGGTTTGCGTGGGTGGAGTAGTTTGCAAAAGATTTTCTGTGCTGGGAAATAATGCGTTGAAACAGGAAAGGGATATTTAGTTCATCAGACTTGCCCCCCTCTGTTATGGTAATCATTTTGCCAATCAGTGTTCACCCATCTGTCAGGACAGATAATTTTGCCAGCTATTGAATTTTCAGTTAACTTTCCACAATGTCTTTTCTCATGCGGCTTAGCAGTCCTTGCAGTCCTGCGCTGGGATTCTTGCAGGTGTTCAGAGGCAGGTTCTTGTCTGGTACAGAAACCAGAACTCCCCTGCAACAGCAAGACTTTTAAAAGGAATCGCTTTTTCTGTTTGACCTTTTGACTAATGTGAAATAGTTGTTAATTAACTTTATGGTTTATTCAGTCAAATTTTATTCACGATTTCCAAAACTTATTCTAGGCTGCATTGCAGTTCTTCTGTTCATAGGGGAATTAATTTCGTTATGTTCATAGCATATTTATTTGTTTTTATTATTCCTTGACTTTTCTGTAAGGCAAAACCAGATTTTATGTGACACGAATTTGCACAGCAGCTTAAATGAACCCAAAATGTTCCTTTCACAGGAGTAGTATAACTTTGTTCATTCTGAATTTTGCTCATCTGCATATGGGACCTGATTCACTTTGGAGGCTTTGTAACTTCAATTTAAGCTCTGTAGTTGGTGATTATTCTCTGTGGTTTTTACTTTGTCATTCTCCTGTGTAAATATGTCATTGTCCTTCCTTTGAGAGATGTACTTTCAACTCTGTGTTTTATGGTCAGGTTAGTCTTGTAATTAGAACTTCAAAAAGAAACCATTTTAATTGTAGAGATTATTCCCAAATGCCCATGGAACGTACAATTGCTATACTGAATTTTGATACTACCAATAAAAACCTTCTTTGGAAATTTCACTTCAGCTTAATACGGATTTTAAGCTGTAAAGACCCAACCTGAAACTTCTGGGAAGTTCAGGCGAGCTTTGTCATTGGAAGTATGGAAATTCAGACCGGGTGTCATTTTGGCTCTTTTTCTCTCTCTAGCAAATAAGACTTGCCAATCTGATAGTGCTCAAAATAAGAGAAAATACTTGTGACAGAGAGGACATGCTAGGCAGAGTACAAGTTGGTCTTGTATTACTACAGCTGACAGCAAAATAACTCCATGTATGCGACCGTATGTACATGTATTCTACCCTCCCTAATGTTCTCCCTTTCTTACTGTATAACCTTGAGCGCGTACAGGAGGTGTTTTCTTAGAATGAGATCTTCCAGACCGCTGCCGTCTTCTAAAAATAAACAAAGCTTACGGGCTCAAATGTGCAGCTTCTGTAACCGTTTGGCTAATAAGAGATTACCTTTCCTTTGCAAGCCAGTCCTGAAAAGGTGGCTTTCTGCTGATTTGGCATTTGGCTCCCTCTTCTGGCCAGTGTTTGGAAAAGCTCAAATTAATACTTGGGGATTTTCTTTCTGGAGCTACAAAAAAAACTATTCGGTGCAGTCTGTAATATAAAATTTGATTACAGTTGCATCCATGTCCAATTGCAGATTGAATGTCTAATTTGTGACATATATGACCTGATTTTAAATTCGTTTAAATTGGCTTTTACTTGTGCTAAAACTTGTAAATAAGAGATTTCCCTTTTCCTCTCTTTGTGCTCCCATCACATCCCGCAGTACAAAAGCACTGAAGACCAGCTCATGGGAAATCCGTGGAAGTTCAGAGCACTCAGTGTTTGGCACAGCCAGATTCTGTGTCTGTTTATATCATTCGATGTGAAATGGTGTTGCTGATAGTTAAACAACAGAGAACAAAATGTTTTCTTGCTTCTGTTCTACAACTAATCATGGTTTCTGTTTCCTTCTTCTCCAGGTGATAGAAACACTTTCAAAACTTTCTCGCACTCCTATTGCAATAGGCACAGGAATAAGGTATGTTATTGCCCTAGGGAATGGTGGGAATAATGCCTCTTGCATGATGCTCCGTGGAAAAGTTGTTAGAGGCGGTATAGGCAGTGTCCCCCAGTAAGAACTTCTCTGGTTGTAAACCAGATTGTCCAGTGGACAGCTAACCAAGGCTCTGGACCTCTGAGGAGCTCCAGAGGGTATCTTCGACCTCTGGTACGCTTACTGAAGTGCCTGAACCACATTTACTTCTCGTGCTGAAACACGAGGTGAACCAAATGAGCAGTTAGTATTACGGAACTTGTGTGATAATTGTGGCACCTGGATTGTGAGTCAGGCTGATGCAGTGCTCATCTATGTAAAGACAAATGGCTTTTCTTTTCTTTCTCCCTTATAAAAATCAGCAAAACTGCCAAGTTTGCTGCAAGATTCTCATTTTCACAAAGAAACCAAAAAACCCCAACCAAACCTAACCTCATGAACTATAATTGTGGGCTGTGAGAGAAGGTGAAAGACTTCATGCTTTGGTGTTCTCCGTCTTTTTGAATGGTTTGATTCAGCAGTCTTATCATATGTGAATGGATGATGTTTTTAAAACATAGACAAAATTCCCTAGCCAGTCCTGTGATCCATGTCCTGTGCTAAAAAGAGTAGTTAATATTCTCAGCTGAAAAACTGACAATGATGTGTATTAGTAGTGATTTATAACAACCCCATCCAGTAGGGTTTTTATTATATTAAGTATCAGTTCATATATAGAAGTCTAAATACATGTATACTGTTCATCAGAGAAAGAGGGGAACACACAAACACATTAACATATAGTAATCTGTGTGAAAATTTTAGAAACCAAGCAAAACCCCACTATAAGACTAGACAAGTGCTTGTCTATAATTCATGCTATTTTTCTTTCTATAGGCCCTTCCCTACAGAAGAAAGCGTTGATGATGAAGATGTCTACAAAGGTCTTCCTGATTTAATAGAGTATGTTGTAAATCTTTACTTAAATTAAAGAGTTTGGCTTTTCGTTGCATGCTATTATTTCTGTGATGTTATAGAACACATAGTTTTAGTGAGAATGGGATATTTATTTGATTTAAAAAGATTTTGTTAGCCATTATGCTGACCGGGAAGAATTAATTATGAAAGCTTATCTGAATGATTGTAATACATTTATGTATGGAAGGAAGCATGTTTCATAGAGGGTGCTGGTAGCAAAGTAAATCATGAATGCATTTTTAAATTATCTGTCTGTACTATGGGAATGCTTTCATAGAATTACAATATCAGTTGTAAGCGACCCAAGGAAATTGCCTTGAACTTGCGAAGAAAATGCATGTCTGGATCATAAATCAAGTGGGTCGTTTCCCTAAAGTCAATGAAATTCTTCTTACGAGTGCATTTACCTCTCTGAGTAAGTGTTTGCAGGTTTATTAATTATTGCCAATTTTCACATTGGCTTTGAGGTACAAGTAAGATGGACGTGATCATACTGTATAGTATTGAATGGCAGACTGCAGCTTTATTTTGCAGACTGGTGAGAGAAATACATCTGGGCATAAAAAATTGTCAGGAAGAACTACTTTTGTATCCTATGGCTAGGGTCTCCCAAGATCCAGTAGGAATCGTGTTGGACGAGAGCTAGGATCAGAGCTCGCTGTCCCAAAGCTCAAAGTTCACCATCGCTCACCTCACTAGTGCCTATCTGGCTCTATCTTGGCTCTGGCCGCGTTGTATGTCGCTTGCTGTGATGTGGTGAAGTAGCTGCTGTTCACACCGTGGATTTGTTTCTTTACTGCCTATAAAGAAGGGAAACCCCACCATGGTTGGCATCGCTGAACTTATCACCTGCCCTGCAAAGCTCCTCCTTGTCTCCTGCAGCTGACTGGCTGTCTCAGACAGCTGCTTTTCACTCTGTGTAGCTGAACGTGCAGAAGGTAGGAGTTGCAGTCTCCTCTGAGACCCAAGTGGGCTAGAGGTGATGTCCTCATCTCTTAGATGTGGTGGTATTAGCACTGTTTGAAAACAACGTTTCTATCAGTTCTTACCTAGGTATACAAATTCAGTACTGGGAGACAGTCTTTCATTTAAAAAAAAAAGTTAACAAATCATACGAAAGAAATTGAGATTAATAGCTCTTATTTTGCATCAAATTACAAATATTATTCACTGAAATTTCATAGTTACATGCTGTCTCAATTGTGGAGGAAGCAATTCAAGAAGTACTGTCTTCATAAGAAGCAAAAGTGCCAGTGAATGATGCAAATGGCCCACATTTTTTATTTTATCGTAATTAGTAAGTGTATTTGACTAAAATTAATCTAATTGTCCCTGAGTTTAAATGGTGTCTAAGGAATTTAGAATGAATTTAAGGCTTTCTGTCGGAGAGAGCTGTAGTAGTTAAATGTTTCTATCCTTACTCTGCCTTTTTGCCAGCTTTTGTTCCCCGGAGCATAGGTGGTAAAATGGAGTGTGGCTGTGCTGCATCTAACACAGCTGCTAGTGTTTCATGGGAAATGCTAGCACACCATCATCACTGGTGCAAGCTGAAATGTTAGACTAACCTGGAGCACCTGAGCTTTCTAGCTCTCTTGGGGCATGGTGTTTGTTGGAAAAGGAAGGGATGTGAGCAATTTCTGTCTTCTGTTGAATCCCCTAAATATTTTTTTTTAATCATTCCATCTATTGAAACTTCTAATGCTTGATTACTTTATCCTTCTCATGTCCTCGATTAAAACAACAACAAAAAAGATGATACATATTTAATGAGAAATAAAAAAATCACTCGGTTTCTGTGTATAGTCCTTACTGTGGACGTAGTGACTTTGTCTGGCATTTCCAAGTAGTCTGTGTGGCAGCTGTGTTGGTAGCAGTTCTCATTCATTTTCATTTCTTTGAAATCATTAGTCTCTGCCAGTAGAGCTTCTGATGTCCTGTTCTTGAGTACTGACCATCCACTTAGAGAAATGGTTGTCCTTCCTAGTTCTAGTGGACCGATCCTCAGTTTGTTTTTACTCTGAAGGGTTTCAGTGTTGTCTTCCAACAATAAAAATCTCAAAATTATCAGCACATCTCATCAGGTCTCTGTATTGTTATGACCAGACTACTTTCAATGTCTTTTGGAGTTCTTTTTTAGACACACCCTAAAAATGTGAGTGAAAGAGATCTTACGGGCTTGATACGGTCCTAGTGCAAAGAAGGCAAAACTCCATCAGGACTGACTCTAATGAAGCTGAATTAGCTGACGGTAGAGTTGAGCATTGACTTTATGCTGAGGTATTTCTGTAGTCTGGGTAATAGGAAGACACTTCTTGTGCATTTTGTTGAACTGTTTGATTTTCAGTTTGAAAGGTTGCTTTTTTTCATTTTTGGGTAGGTCAAGGTTGCCATGAGGTGATCAAGATACTGGCTTATGATGAGAAGGTACAGACTGTCAGCTGCTGGCTCTGCAGTCTTTAGTGTATTTTACCCCAGATAATCCTTTCTTTTGGCAGGAAAGATACCTGTACCAGTGTCTCACATCCCAGTGCAGTGGGGTGCCAGGCAGTAAGGAGAAGTAGCTCCTCTCCACTGGATTTGATGGGAAAAGGGATGAAGAGAAGAGAGCAGCTGGACAGCACCTCGTGACAAAACTGTCCTGACAAGCTGCTTTTGGTGCCTGGTTTAGTTCCTGTTGGTTCTAAATTCATGCGGTCTTCAGTGTTCTGTTGATTGTGTACAGTCATATTTTAAATGCATTGGGGAAAGAAAATTAATGGATTTAATTTTCCTTAATGAGTTCTTTTCATTCGATAGTTCTATTAATTAATCTGTTTGTTTACTGTAGAAATCTTTTCCTATGAGGAGTGGTCCCTTGCAGGGCTGATGGTAATTTGCCTGTGCTGCACAGCTTTTTTTTTTTAAATTGTCTTTTTCTTTTTCCTTTCAGTGAAACTGGTGTTGATGAAGATGAGGAGTTGTATGATTGCGTCTATGGAGAAGATGAAGGTGGGGAGGTTTATGAAGACCTAATGAAAGATGAAGCAGCACAGCAACCTGTATGTTTTCCAATTCCTAGCTATTTTCAAACAATAGCGGTTATATTTTTGAAAGTTAATATTTGTGAAATTAATCTCTTTATAGCTAGTTTCACTGAAACTTCACTCATGCTCAGTTGCATCCAGGGCTGTCACGTGCAGTGCGGTATCTCCTATGTAAGACTTTGTAGGCTGTTTTGGCAAAGGGTTGAATGTTAACTATGGTAATTTTTTAAAAGAAATGTAATTTTTAAATGAAATACAATAATTACTTAATTTGTTAAGAGTGCCAGTTACGAATGGTAAGATTTACCAGCTATTTTAAGAGCAAATAAATTAACTGCTTACTTCAAAGTGTCCTACTTCAAAAATTAAGTTATAATATTGTGAAACGCTGTTGTTTCAGCCATAATTTGGACAACTAATCTAACAGGGACAACTGATGATTGTTTCATAACAATGAAATTCCTGCTTATTTAACCATTTAGTTTTTTGTTGATCATTAGGTTGGCCTTACTGAGAATGGGATAAGTAGCTTACTCACTTTATCATGTAAAGGTACCATGGTCAGTTTTCAAAACTGTCTTGGAAAAATACTAAACTTAGGCCATAAAATTTACTTGCTAATTGGGAGAAACCCTAATGTACTTGTCTGCCCTTCCTCAGAGATGTGGTTTCTGATCTGGAAAATGTTAGTCTGTGGCCATGACAGGATATGTTTTTAAGGACAGTTGTTTTCTTCCCCTGTATTGACATGAAGCTATATTATGTTTCCTGTTGTCTTAAGTTGGAAACTTGCTTCTACTTTTCTAAATTGCTTTTTTGTAATATAGTTACATGCAGAAGACTAAAGATTTTTTTTTTTTTATTTTTTTTTTTTTTTTTTACACCTTGTGTATCTTTTCAATACAAGTACAGGAGATACCTAATGTGATTTGCGTTCTCTGCTTTTGGTGAATCACTTTGGTGATTCCCCAAAGTTAGCGCTATCTTGTCTTTGGGAAGATTACTGCCTTGTTTTAATCTCTATTGTTTTGAGTATAACAATATTGTTTTTGAGCCTGTTTTTCTGTTAATGCAAAATCCTGCAGGTAATGCGTGTAAATTAAGGATGAGATAAGCAGAAAGTTATGTTAGTTTTTCACATTTTGCTTAATTTTGTTTACCTCCTAAAGTTTAGGTTATTCAGTGAAAACCAAATAAAAAATTGAGTTGAAAAAACACTGTTTTATATCTAATGAAGTCGCATTCATTTGCAGGCAGTATGTTTTAGAAGAGTGTTTGAATCATAGGAAATCTTTACTGTGATCTTGTTTTGAGTTTTAATTTTATACTGAAACTCAAAATGTGTTAAGTTTGGGTTTCGCATAATGAGTGTGGGTGGCTTTTTTTTTTTCCCTTCAACTGTAACAGTTGGTAATCTCTGGCAGTTGGTAGTGTGTAAACTTTCTCTGATTCTTCTTTCCTGTTGCATATGTCACTCTCGCATATCCGTGTTTCTAGCAAATGATTAATATAGCAATCAGAACTTTCATGTTCTAATTTCAGTTGCATCTTAGCCTAGATACTTCAGGTTGAACAGGCTTGTATTTGTTTCTTATAGAAAGTAAATGAAAATTGAAAACATGGTACTGCAAAATATTTTTTCCACAACATGTAGTGAATGGAGACATTACAATTGTTTTGCTGTGACAGCTTTCTTGAATGTGGTAATTATTTCTGGTTTCTGATATTTTCCTCTCCAGTTTATAAATACACTGCATGCTAACATAACGATTTTGCACAGTTCTTTCATTTGAATCCTACGTGAGAATTCCTTGCATATAAAAAACACTAGGACAGGACAACGTTCAAGTCGATTTTCAGAAGAACTCAATACTTTTCAGAGTCTCCAATAGCAGCCAAAATTGCTTTGCATCTCCCTTATCCTTAATTTACCGTCATTATCTTGCGAAGTAAACTGTTCCGCTGAATTTTTTCTAGCAGTAGCTGACCTTCCAAGGCAATTTTTCTCACTTTACTGGTATTCGCACATAATTTCTTATTTCCTCCCTCCTTTTGTTTATTGCACTCAAACTGTAGAAATTTGTGGTACAGATGGAAAATTAGTATGTTAGTTTTTGCCAAAAGTACCTATGTGAATGATCTGTTTGGGTTAGGTGAGCACAAAACTGAAGTGAATTGTTTCAAGTGGAATCAGGATTTTGTTTGCATTGTTCATATGAGAGTTGGTGAACAACAACCTGTCCGCCCCCCCCCGCCTTTTGCAAATGGATATAAACTCCTGTTGGGTACAACAACTTCTGTATTGGTGCAAATACTGCAAGCAGTTTGAACAGTATTGAGCTCACAAAGATAAAGGTGAAAAATAACTAAAAGCCTGAATAATGTCAAATTCTAATACTTTATTGAGCTTAATTAACTGTGGTTAACTGTTGACAGTGCCCACTGCCGCCTGCTAAAGAATTTGGGAATAAATGATAGATTTTGAGTTGAGGCTGATCATCAGATGATGCTCACAAAGTACGTTTCTACTGATAATGACAGACTATTTTTGAGAAACGGTTACTTCTGTCTGCAGCTGATAAGGATGGCACTTTAATGTTTGTTGTGGGAAAATTCATATCTACACCAATTGGGTTTTAAAGAGTAATTTCTGAGATAACGCAGCACCTGGGAGATGAGAGTGAGAAGCCATGTTCCAGTTGTAGGAGCTGCTTGTAGAGTCACATGGCGACAAACAGAGAGAGGGTAAAGGAGATATGTCAAAACAGCAGACAGAAGTGCGAACGGGGGCAAAGCTTTATGTGCCTGTTTGATTTGCAACTTGGCATCTAGTTTAGGCGATAGGAAGAAGTTTCTCCCTCTTCACAGGTGGCCAAGCGATATCATGGGAGCTGTATGTGGCTCATGGGCAGCTTAAGTGTGGCTTGCTATTTGCTGTGGTATGCTTAGCAGGTGCGTCAAGTAGAACGATAGCAGAGAGAGGGATTGGAAGGAGTCTAGCTCTTGGACATACTAAGAGCTAATTGTTTAAAACTTCAGTCTAGAAGTCTTGCTATTCCTGGAGGACAAAAGTCTTTTGTTTGAAAGCTGCAAGTCTTTTTCTGAATGGGAAGAACTGTAGTACTAAATTTCTAGCCCTGACTCCCCCTGTATTTGAGTAACATCTAGTC